AAAATCTAAACCATAATATTAAATCAGTAGATACATACTAAATTTCGGAGTTGACCCCTTAATGAAAGTTGTAAAGTTTTTCATTACGAGTGATTACATTTTTCACACTTATTATGATTAATTTTTCACTCAAATAAATAACATTGTTCATGAGATTTGGAGGGTTTTAAAAATCTACACTTATTTATACTTTCATCAAGTATAACATAAGATTTTATGGTATCCACTAGTGTAAATATTTTAAATTGAAGATCGAATTCATTCATTGTATTCATATAGGGTCAATGAGTGTAGCTGTAAAAAATCATCAAAATTGGAGTTAAAATAACCGTTAAATCGTAATTTTTCGTTTATAACCGTCGAAAAGTTTTGTCTCATTACTTGATCTTTGAATGTTTGTTTTTTTGCAATTTTTGGCGTATGCGATCTCGAAGCATATATAAACAAGTTTGACGGTTGGATCGTTGAAATTAGTTTCGTAGGATGCGTATCCCATCAAAACGATAGATTCACTAACACTAAAGAGTTTATTTATACTTTCATCAAGTATAACATAAGATTTTGTGGTATCCAATAATGTAAATATTTTAAATTGAAGATCGAATTCATTCCTTGTATTCATTTAGGGTCAAGGAGTGTAGCTGTAAAAAATCATCAAAATCGGAGTTACAATAACCGTTAAATCGTGATTTTTCGTTTATAACCATCGAAAAGTTTTGTCTCATTACTTGATCTCTGAATGTTTGTTTTTTGCAATTTTTGGCGTATGCGATCTCGAAGCATATATAAACAAATTTGACGGTTGGATCGTTGAAATTAGTTTCGTAGGATGCGTATCACATCAAAACGATAAATTCACTAACACTTAAGAGTTTATTTATACTTTCATCAAGTATAACATAAGATTTTGTGGTATCCACTAGTGTAAATATTTTAAATTGAAGATCGAATTCATTCATTGTATTTGTTTAGGGTCAAGGAGTGTATCTGTGAAAAAAAAATCAAAATCGGAGTTAAAATAACCGTTAAATCGTGATTTTTCATGTATAATCGTCGAAAAGTTTTGTCTTATTACTTGATCTCTGAATGTTTTTTTTTTTGCAATTTTTGGCGTATGCGATCTTGAAGCATATATAAACAAATTTGATGATTAGATCGTTGAAATTAGTTTCGTAGGATGTGTATCCCATCAAAACGATAGATTCACTAACACTTAAGAGTTTATTTATACTTTCATCAAGTATAACATAAGATTTTGTGGTATCCACTAGTGTAAATATTTTAAATTGAAGATCGAATTCATTCATTGTATTCATTTAGGGTCAATGAGTGTAGCTGTAAAAAATCATCAAAATCGGAGTTATAATAACCGTTAAATCGTGATTTTTCGTTTATAACCGTCGAAAAGTTTTGTCTCATTACTTGATCTTTGAATGTTTGTTTTTTGCAATTTTTGGCGTATGCGATCTCGAAGCATATATAGACAAGTTTGATGGTTGGATCGTTGAAATTAGTTTCGTAGGATGCGTATCACATCAAAACGATAGATTCACTAACACTTAAGAGTTTATTTATACTTTCATCAAGTATAACATAAGATTTTGTGGTATCCACTAGTGTAAATATTTTAAATAGAAGATCGAATTCATTCATTGTATTTGTTTAGGGTCAAGGAGTGTAGCTGTAAAAAATCATCAAAATCGGAGTTATAATAACCGTTAAATCGTGATTTTTCGTTTATAACCGTCGAAAAGTTTTGTCTTATTACTTGATCTCTGAATGTTTGTTTTTTGCAATTTTTGGCGTATGCGATCTTGAAGCATATATAAACAAGTTTGACGGTTGGATCGTTGAAATTAGTTTCTAAGATGCGTATCCCATCAAAACAATAGATTCACTAACACTTAAAGTTTATTTATACTTTCATCAAGTATAACATAAGATTTTGTGGTATCCACTAGTGTAAATATTTTAAATTGAAGATCGAATTTATTCATTGTATTTATATAAGATCAAGGAGTGTAGCTGTAAAAAATCATCAAAATCGGAGTTAAAATAACCGTTAAATCGTGATTTTTCATTTATAACTGTCGAAAAGTTTTGTCTCGTTACTTGATCTCTAAATGTTTATTTTTTGCAATTTTTGGTGTATGCGATCTCGAAACATGTATAAACAAGTTTGACGGTTGGATCATTGAAATTAGTTTCATAGGATGCGTATCCTATCAAAACGATACATTAACTAATACTTAAGAGCTTATTTATACTTTCATTAAGTATAACATAAGATTTGTGGTATCCACTAATGTAAATATTTTAAATTGAAGATCGAATTCATTCATTGTATTCATATAAGGTCAAGGAGTGTAGCTGTACAAAATCATCAAAATCAGAGTTAAAATAACCGTTAAATCGTGATTTTTCGTTTATAACCATTGAAAAGTTTTGTCTCATTACTTCATCTCTGAATGTTTGTTTTTTGCAATTTTTGGAGTATGCGATCTCGAAGCATGTATAAACAAGTTTGACGGTTGGATTGTTGAAATTAGTTTTGTAGGATACGTATCCCGTCAAAACGATAAATTCACTAACACTTAAGAGTTTATTCATACTTTCATCATTTTGATGGGATATGCATTGATGTTATACTTAATGAAAGTATAAATAAACTTTAAGCGTTAGTGAATCTTATCGTTTTGATGACTTGGAATAAATATATTAATTATTTATATATTTGAAGTGTTAATTAGACTATGTTTCAATTAGTATGTGATGATATTTAATAATAAAATTACATTTATGTTTTTTATTACGTATTTTATTTTTATTCAAGTTAAAATGTTATAAGAGATAAAAAAAGAAAAGAAAAAAAAAAGCTGGTTATTTTTTTTCTTTGGGTTAAACATTAGGCGGGAAATGGATGGATATAGGTTGCAAAATTTCCCAAACATTAGGTGGGAAATGGATGAAACTCTTGAAATATTAGGCGGGAAATTTATTATTATAATTTTGTTATGTTTTTGGTATTTTTAAATTACTTGATATTTTTATTTTTAATGTGTTTTATGATTTTTAATCTCAATCCTTGCCTATAATATACTATAAAAATAAATAAATAAATAAAACTTAAATTTTAAAATTTATATAGAATAATAATTAATAAACAATATATACATATTCATTATATCTATTGCATTTTATAGTAAGTTTTTTTTAGTAGTTTAAAAATTTAAAATCATCAAAATAGCATTTTTCTTATCGTGTCGAAACAGGTTACCCGCGTGTCACTTTCGTGTAAACCTGTTAAGGACCCGTTATTAACGGGTTATTATCGTGTGACCCGATAATGACCCGATTAGTTATCGTGTTGACCCGAAACCCGTTATTTTCGTGTCGTTTACGTGTCGTGTAATAAATTGCCAGGTCTAGTGGCATTAGAGGAAATATGGATTTGGATTTGGGAATTATCCAGTTGGAAAAAGTAAATCCAAAATGGGATGAGATCTTGAGTAAGAGGAAAGACAATAGACTCTATTTATTTATTTTTAATAAAAAAAAGGTCTTTATTACATGGCTTAATAAGAAGACTTGCTTTTAATCATTTTGCTTTAAATGGCCAAGTTAGGATGCATAACTTAGTCTAAATATATTGTTGTATTTAAAAAAGGAAAAAAAAAAAAGTTGGCTTGGCTCAAAATAATGTCATTTTGGCCAAGTCAAATAGTCCTCTTTCTCTTGGTTAATCATTTGCAAAACTTGCAGCTGTTGCACTTTTCTTCTCGTCCACCACATGATCAAACTTGGGTGGTCCTCAAAGGTCCTCACGACCACTTATTTGGGCTTCCAGGTGGTCTAAAGACCACCCAAGTCCCTTAATGCATTTGCCACGGGTTATAATGACATACCCCTTCATTCACATTGTGGTTTATCTCTATCTTTTATATGGAAATGATAGATACGAATAATTTATGTTCTCTTACACACCCTTGTTTAATATTGTTCGCTCTCATTCATTTAATGGTGGTGAAAATCAACTTTCTCTTTCGAATTTGTCGTTCGTTCAAATGGTGTGTGAAAATCAGCTTCTCTCGAATTTACCATTCCATGTACCAGCTGTCAAGGACAGTAGCAGGCTTCTTTCCCACCTCGATTTTGGCCGTATGATTCAGGTCAGCAAATATAGAGCTACTAAACTCGGCCAAAAGTTTAATATAAAACTTTAAGCTTGCCGAATGACAGCAGCAGGGTAAGTGGCCCACTACTATAGCGGTAGAGAGGAATGTTGCGCTTGCACCACGACGTGGGTTTAAATCTCGACTTCTTAATTTAACATTTAATCTAACAAATCGACCATTCAACAAAAAAAAAAAAAAAAATTAAAAAAGGATAGCGACCGGCTTCTTTTATTTATGTTAACTCTGTCCTATAATACTAAATTAATCCAACTTAACTCTATTATTGCATTCAATCAGAAGTCCGACGTACATGGTATATCACCAAACCGCGCTAAATTACAAGAAATATATTAAGAATTTTTTTATCACTTGTGATTGTCTTATAATTCCATTACCACATCTAAGTAAGAAATCTAATCAAACTCCAAATAATAGAGGGACAAGACTTCACAAGTGTTCACAGCATGGTGTGAATGAATGTTCTATGGTTTAATTCTTGGTTTACAGGCCCAAGAGTGAGACATATTATTACATTAATAAGCCATCCAAATCAAGTGTACATAGAAAATTGTAGTGGGTTGCCTATTGGATAGAGCACTCATCTTCAATCTACTGCGTTATCGGCAGGGTTCAAATCATTCACATCGTAAACTAAGTAGTACTTGGTTGTAATAAAAAAGTTAAAAATTGGTATAATCTATTAAAGAAATCAGAAAATAGATAACATGCATGCTTCTCTATAAATGTAATTTTGGTTAGTTAGGTATATACATCTAGCAGTTTAACCTAGAATCCTCAAACCCTCTTCATATATAGTATACTCAAACAATGGCCAAACTAGCAATAGTAGATTTATCCAATGAAGACTGCTTCAAGCCTGGGACAAGTTCTTGGCTCTCAATACGCAAAGACATTTGCCATGCACTCGAGGATCTTGGCTGCTTCGTGGCAATATTACCCGACAAAATTTCTTCGGAGCTTCGTAGTGCCCACTTCGGTATGTTGGACGAGTTGTTTGATTTCCCAACTGAAACCAAAGTGAAAAGTTCTTATGAAAAGCCTTATCCCACTGGTTACCAAAGAGTTGAGGGCGCGGCTTACGAAAGCTTGGGGATTGCTGGTGCTACAAATCCTGAACAAACTCAGATATTTGAACATCATTTTTGGCCCAATGGAAATGATGTATTTCAGTATGATTTACTCAACTTAATTCCACAATAAACATTGAAATGTTAATTTTTTTACCTACATTTACACAACTAATTTGTTCTTTGTTGGGCAGTGAGACTGCTGATTTGTATATAAAAGTGATGGAAGAACTACATCATGCTGTCACGAGAATGGTGTTTGAAAACTATGGTGTAGAGGAGTACCTTGATGATCACCTTCAATCGACAATTCACACATGCCGATTTAGCAAATACAGTGAGCCAGCTGAGAAAACTGGAACTGATATGAGTATCCTCCGTGGTATCCACGGTCATACAGACACAAACTTTACCACCATACTCTATCAAAATGATGTCAAAGGTCTAGAAATAAAGTCAAGGGACGATGAGTGGATAGGTTTTGATCCTCTGCCTTCGTCCTTCATATTTCTAGCAGGTGATGGAGTTCAGGTATGCCACAAACACAATTATGTGATACGTACGTATGTAATCAAATTATCATTACTATTGTTAATTTCTAAAGGTGCAGAACATTTGAAATGATATATTTTGTAATCAAAATATCAATATCTTGTATTGGAAAATGTATAATAATATATTTCTTAGCGGGAACGTTTGCGTGGTTTTGCTTGACTCAGGTTTGGAGCAACGATAGAATACGAGCTTGTAGACATCGAGTGACCTGGAGTGAGAATGATGTACGATACTCGGGCGGATTATTTTCATTCAGGGTAGGAGAAACACATACACCAAAGGAGCTTATAGACGAGGACCACCCCTTACAGTACAAGCCATTGAATACGTCGGTATATACTGAATATAGGAAGAAAAATTACGCCAGCATTGGACCTGACTATACCGTCAAGGCATATTGTGGCGTTTGATTTGTCTTGATCTAAGGCTACAGGCCAGTTTTTCTCCGTATTTACCTTTCTTTACCTCATCTCGTTTCTTTGTATTTCTTTCCTGTCAAACATAATGCTGTGTCGCCTCCTGTATTGTTGTTTGGTACATGTTTATGTCATTGTCTTTTATTTACTGCCAAGTTGCAGCACCGTTTTTATAACTGGCAGCCGTCACTGTTTATTTGGCTGCCACCGTTCTAGAGTCCTTGAGTTTCTTGAAAGTCTTCTTTCGGTGTTGGGTTGATTTTCGTAAGTGCAAGCTAAATAAAAAATAAAAAATATTTGTGATGCACACATTATTGTGTTAGCCCTCCAAGGGGGTCTTTTGTAACCAACAATAGCAAGTTGCTAACCTTCATTGTATCCACATGGCTCATTCGCATACTTCGTTTTGCACACTAGATGTGGGAGCATCCTTCATTAGTGGGTTGTGAATGACTGATTTTAATCAATTTTTTCGACCTTGGTTCTGTATTCCTTTGAGTTTCATTCTTGCGAACGTACTTCCCCAGGTGGGATACTGAATGTGTTGGCTAAAGTCTAAATATAGCGTATTTACTGCATGTTTTGAAGCTATCTTTCATCCTCATCACTATAACCCACATGTTACAAAATTTCTCATGTGAGACATTATTGAATTGCACTGTGAGTAAACTACAAGATCAAAATTGACACAACTAAATCGACCAATTCAGTGTTTACCCATTCAACATGTGTCATATCTTTGACCTCTGTATCTCGATTAAGCATGTTTAGCCGTCCCGCATTCGACTAGAGTTCAGGAGAAAGGACATGTACCATGTTATTCTCCATATTTCAGTGGATGGCCCATGTTATCCTCTCGATACTCTCCAGCCGAAGTCTTACTCTCTGTAGGTTCTACGTTGTCTCTCTCGTTGGCAAACGTCCGAGGTTGAGGAATATCTGGACCCTTAAGAATTTTTTCAATAGGAGGTGACTCACAGGCTCCTCAGTGACCAACGTGGTTGGGGTTGAGCCAATCACAATTTTAGTTGTGGTGCAAGCTTTATCAGCTGCAAGTGCATTGGTCTTGATGACTCTGTGCTTTTTGGCCTTCACGGCTTTGGTTGATGCATTCGGTAGCTTCCACGAGAGCGCATCTTCACTTCTTTTCTTCTTAAGAGCTTTAGCTACATGCTTCTTCGCCTTTTTTTTGGTGGCATTCTTTGACGGAATCTTCTTTGCATGGTCTTCGTGACTTTGACAGCTACCTTGTTGGTTTCGACTCCAAGATTTGGCTTTTGGACATTGAGTGAGACTGGTGCTTGATCGATGATGGATGACATTCGACATCCAGCTCGCCCTGAACATCCTACCTTGAAATGAGTTGTGTGTTAAGCTTAGGGAAGTAAACAACTTGTGGTACCATCTTGTTTCCCGTAAGAAAACATCTAGCACACAAAATTTCATATATTCATAATTAGAGATGAAAAAGTGAATGAGTCCCACCAGGTGTGCCAAAAACTATGTTGAGAAAAAATTGTCACGAGGGCAAATAATTTACTCAAAACAATTTCACCATCGCTCACTTTTATGAAGAGGTTTTATTATTTTGAGTTGCCTCATTCTAGGCTACACGCGTATTAATTACAACCCATATTTTGAGAAAGGAATACCATTTGATTCTATTGGAAGTATAAGCCGTCCTATAGCCGTCCTATAAGCCGTCCTATAAGCCGTCCTACCTACACACTTGGAAGTATAAGCCATCCTACCTACACACTTGTATCCCTTAATTTAGGGTGATTGGACATAAGTCTTCCCTTTTTTCATGTATATATATCCTTGTAATCTTGTAGAGAAACATAATGAGAAAAAGCATTCTCTTCCATATTTTCCACATGGTATCAGAGCTGGAACCTTAACCGGCCTGACTCCATTGTTGTCCCTTCTTTTCTTCTGCACATTCGTTTCGATAATGGCAGAAGATAATCTTTTTGACTCAGAAGCTGAAAGCTTCACAGCTCCTCGCCCTAGTTTTCCAGAAGCTGAAGTCAACCCAAACCAACGTTTATGTTCTGTGTTGTTAAATGAGTTTAACTATCTTCCATGGTCCAGATCAATATCTCTTGCCCTTGGAGGAAGATCCAAACTTGGATTCGTCAATGGAAGTATTAAAGCACCTGACGTCGCATCGCCGGAGTATGAAGTATGGCTGTGCAAAGACCAGCTGGTCATGTCGTGGCTCCTCAACTCCATGGATCCTAAGCTGTCTGAAATTTTCAGTTTTTCAGAATCCTCTAGTGCTCTTTGGAAGGCAGTCAAGGACATGTATGGAAATCAAAACAATGCTACTCAAGTGTTCCAGCTTAAGAGGATTCTCGCAAGTCTTCAACAAGGTGATAAATCCTTTGTTCATCATCTCGGTTGCATGAAAAACATGTGGAACGAACTAGATATGTATCGACCACACACTATCGATGCTGCCGTACTGTTAAAAAGGTCCGAGGAAGACAAAATCTTTCATTTGCTTGCAAGTTTGTGTTCTGAATATGAAGATCTTAGAAGCCATATTCTAATGAATCCCGAACTTCCATCATTTGCAAGTGTTTGCACTACTATCCAGCGAGAAGAAGTACGCAGAAAAGTCATGAATGTTGACGTAAAACCTAGTGTGTCTGAGGCTAGAGCTTTTGTGACAAATCACAAGTCATTTGGAGATAAAGCATACAAGGGAAAAAAGGCCAGATCTGAAGTGTCTACATTGTAATAATGTTAGACATCTAATAGATCGATGCTAGATATTGCACCCTGAGTTGAAGCCAAGGTTTGAGAACAAGCCTTTAAGAGATCATAAGGGCTCACACGCTAGACCATATACAAACAAGTACCATGCTGCTGTTGCTACATCCATCGGTGGGTCGATGAACTTTACAGCCAATCCGGCTGACTTGTTGAATGAGTTCTCAACCTACCTTCAAACCAGAAAAGGAAGCACAGGTGAAACGTCGACTGGGGAAAGTCAAACTGCTCTTCTTGGACAGTTTGCAGGGTTCTTAGCTGAATCTGGTCATGTACCTCAAGGAGACATTCCAGGTATCATGTGTGCTCTTTCAACTACTCTAAATGTTAGTCACTCTCATGATTTTTGGATTATAGACTCAGGTGCCATAGATCACATGACAAATCAATATTCAAAGCTATACGATTTTGAAAGCTACACTAAACCATCACTAGTTTCTGTAGCAAATGGTAGAGGTGTGCCAGTTCTAGGTAGAGGGAAAGTTAAACTGATCTCAGAAACTGTTGAGTCCACAGCGTTATATGTTCCATCTTTTCCTTTTCAATTATTGTCCGTAGGAAGGATTACAAGCTCTCTAAACTGTCGTGCAATTTTTTCCCCCCACAATGTTGTTTTTCAGGATCTAGCCACCAAGAAGCTGATTGGTGAAGGTCACTACCTTAATGGGCTGTACTATTTTTTAGAGGACCTCAATGTTCCAAAGGGGTTCCAAGTCAGCTCAAACCTAGAACATCGGTTGTGGCACATCCCTCAGAATCTGTGTTGTCTACGTTGTTCCCTAGTTTATGCAAATCCTCCCTTGTATGTGAAATTTGTCATTTGTCAAAATCTACTAGACTCCCATTCAATTCTTCCATGTCTAGGACTAGCAAGTTTTTTGAGATGGTGCACTCCGATGTTTGGGGACCTGCATCTTTAGAGTCTTTTGATGGTTATAGGTACTACGTTATCTTTGTTGATGATTTCTCAAGAGCCACTTGGTTGTACCTCCTAAAATTCAAAAGTGAAGTTATGGATGCTTTCAAGGACTTTCATAATCTTGTCATGAACCATTTTTCGTCCCAAATCCACATACTAAGGTCTGATAATGGCACTGAATATACATCCAAAAATATGACTAACTATTTGAGCATCCATGGAATTATACATCAAACAAGTTGTGTAGGTACTCCTTAGCAAAATGGAATTGCCGAAAGGAAGAATAGGGACCTACTTGAAAAAACCAGGGCGCTAATGTTGCAAATGAATGTGCCTAAGAGGTTTTGGTCTTAAGGAGTTCTTGCAGCCACCTACCTTATCAACAGACTGCCTAGTCGTGTTCTGGATACAAAATCACCATCTGAGGTTATGCAAAACAAAAAAAATTAATCTTTCCCATCTGAGAATCTTTGGATGTACCTGTTATGTTCATATTCAATCTCATCACCGAGACAAGCTTGATCCCAAAGCTGTCAAGTGTGTTTTCATGGGATACTCCTCCACCCAAAAAGGGAACAAATGCTACAATCCGTGCTCCAGGAAGATGTTTGTCACAAGAGATGTACGGTTTGATGAAAACCAACCATATTTCAACAAATCATCAGATCAAAATCGTCAGGGGGAGCACTTCCTAGATCTCTTCCCATTGCCAAATCCAGTCGAACCAAGTGACTGTGTCCATTCACTACCTCACAACCGGGACTCTCATGCAACCCTTAATGACAACCTGCTTATTGGAGACGACACTGAAGCCTTAGAAGCACAAGCAGTCCCCCATGACCATAACACAACATCTATACAAGAGAGTGGAGCTGAACTTATTGTGATCCCAGCTCAACCCCGCAGGAATCCGACTCGAGATCGACATCCACCATCAAGGCTGCAAGACTATGAAACTTACCATGCAAGGTACCCTATTCACAAGTTTGTACTCCAAAGTCTCTCACTCTCATGCAGCCTTCCTCAGTAAACTGTCCTATGAAAGTGAACCAAGGAACTTTCAAGAAGTTAATCGTCAAGTTGTGTGGAGGCTAGCCATGGAAGAAGAACTCAAAGCCTTGAATGAAAATAAAACCTGGAGTGTAGTTCAACTTCCCAAAGGCAAGAAGGTGGTAGGCAGTCGGTGGGTCTATAAAATCAAGTTTAATTCTGATGGCTCAATTGAACGACACAAGGCAAGATTGGTGGCTCGCGGTTTTACTCAAACTTTTGGAGTGGACTATAAGGAGACATTTGC